CTCTCTCTCTCTCTCTCTCTCTCTCTCTCTCTCTCTCTCTCTCTCTCTGTGTGTGTGTGTGTGTGTGTGTGTGTGTGTGTGTGTGTGTGTGCGTTTTACCTCTTGCGGCTGCGTACGCGCCCGCTTCGCATTTTTTTTCTTTTTTTCCCGAAATCGCTTGTGTTTCCAGTTTCTTTTATTTTCGAAATCGCTCATGCTTCCCTTGTTTTTCCTTTTCTCCATTAAACTCATCAGAACTCCTTACTGTCGGACTTTTTACTTCTCCATTTTCTTCCTTTACTTCTCCATTCTCCATGTGCTTTCTTCTTCTTCTTCTTCTTCTTCTTCTTCTTCTTCTTCTTCTTCTTCTTCTTCTTCTTCACGAAGGCACACGACTTCTTTTTCTTCTTCTTCTTCTCCTCCTCTCTCCTCCTCCGTTGTCATCGTCCTGTGACAAGTGCACACAAAGAACTCCCAACCAACAACTCCTTACTGTCGGAACTCTCTTTACTTCTCCATTTTTTTCCTTCACTTCTCCTTCTCCATGTGCATTCTTCTTCTTCTTCTTCTTCTTCTTCTTCTTCACGAAGGCACACAACTTTCTTCTTCTTCTTCTTTAAGAAGGCATACTTCTTCTTCTTCCTCTTCTTCTTCTTCTTCTTCTTCTTCTTCTTCGTGAGGGCACACAAAAAAAGGAACTGCCAACCAACAACTCCTTACTGTCAGAAATCTGTTTACTTGTACTTTCATCAGGTGCCTTTTTCTCCTCCTCCTCCTCCTCCTCCTCCTCCTCCTCCACGAGGGCACACACCTTCATAGCTCTTCTTCTTCTTTCTTCTTCTTCTTCTTCTTCTTCTTCTTCTTCTTCTTCTTCTTCTTCTTCTCCGTCTTCTTCTTCACGAGGGCACATGTCTTGATAGCTCAGCTTCTTCCCCATTCCAACTTTCTTCTTATAAAATTGAATGTACAGATTGAACCATCATCGGCAGCCGCACGATCATCGGCAGCATTGCCATATCATAACTCTCCGCGGCATGTTTAAACTTCAAACTTGCCTTCAGCTCGCCACCTCGTACTACCAAGTTCAGCGGTACCGACATGTCAGACACAGCCAAGCCAGCACGATTATCTGTCAAGCTTCCACTCCAAGTCAGCGGAAGCATTGCTAAATCTTTCCTCCATCACTTGAATGAGCCACACATCCAGCCCACCAGATTGCAGGGTAATTGGGCTCCTCCCAATCAACCTTCTCTTTCTGCTCCTCCTTCCTCCTCCTCCCTCCTTCCTCTCCTCCTCCTCCTCAACATCATCATCAATCAATACCATCGACTTCATTCTCCTTCTTGTTGGCGGCAGAGGGATTTGAACTCGCAACCTGCCCACCTTTTTTTGTTATGCAATATTTTTTCTATGCATAAAATCAATTGAAAATTTGATCCAGCTTCAGCGTTAATAGGCTTTGTTTCTCAAAAAAAAAGTTATGTTTGCTTCGAGCCTGGTCGTTACTTGAATTTTGCTTTTTTTGGAGTCTTCATCCAATTAATTAAAGATAAAGGCATGCTGCCTATTAGCGTCCTAGCATAAGCAAAAGGTAAGAAAGAAGCTAATCTTCCCCAGTTTGCGCATCTTGTTCATCAAACATGGCATGAATCAGAAAAAGAAAACTGCACTCAAAACAAGTAATGCTTTAGAGAGAGCATGGTTCATCAGATGAAATTTATCACTTTTTTTTTTCACTTTTAATTCAGATCGCCTCTACTTTGATATGCGTGATTTCTTCCAGATTGTGTGAACCCGCAAAAGTGGGATCTCATCTCAATCAAGTGTGTGAACGTTATGACGCATGCAAGGATTCAAGATTGTTCGTGAAATTTGTAAGAGTTTCGACCATTTATTACTCTTATCTTCTTTTTTTTTTTTTACTTTTATCCAATTCAGACCGCCTTTCTCTTCTTCATGGATCCTACAAACTGCAGGACTTGCTTTGGAACTTGGTTCCTTGAGCTTTCAGGATGGCTTCCACAGTCTTTGAGAAGCAGTTAACAGAACCCTCATTTTTCAGGGTTTTCCCAGGGTCATTATAACAAACGTCCCACACCTTGTACAGTCGTCCCCCAAAGACAATGCACCATGATGACTGCATCTGACCGGAGAGATCGCTTGTATACATTCACGATGAAGGTAGCAGTGAACTGGAGAGGGTAGAACCCCTCCAGTCACCAGTACACGTCCTTTTCAATGCAACAAGTATGTCAAGGGTTTTGACATTTTACAACCAAAAAAAATTAATTAAAAGCGCCTTCAATGCACTTCGATCTGCCCTCCTCTTAGAGCTCCGGTGAAAATCATCCTGGCACATTGAGCATAAAATAATATAGAACATCAGCAGGACGGGGCTTGTAGCCGCGCACACTCCCCACCCTCCCCACCCTCCTCCCGCGTCTCATCCACCCCATCAAGCGACCCCTCCTTGCCCCAATTCGCAACCCCCCTGCTTCTATGATGCAGCTGCTGCACTTGTAGGTACGAAACTGCTCGCTCCTAATGGCAATACAATTTGTTTGAGCCCACAGAACCGTCTCTATCCAGGGTTTCTTTTTATTCCACCAACATCGGTTTCAAGGGTTTCGTAGGTTTCCCCCTCCATCGCTTTTGAAGACGCCTTGGCATGTTTTTCCCTTTCATAACAAAAAAAAAAGGGCGACAGTCTTGAGATAACCAGCTCCACGTAATTCGAGAATTTCATCCATCTACTTCCACCTGGATTCGAACTCAGGTCAATGTTTCAACAGTTCATGGGTATACCGAACTAGGCCCGTTGGGTTTTTCCCTTCACTTGAGTTTCCATTTCCACCCATTCCCTCCCGTTCATGTCAGGCCCTCTCTTCTAATCATTTCTCTGATGAATGACGTGGCAGTCGCATAGGTCCCTGATGAATGACGTGGCAGTTGAGATAGCTAATCAAAGAGAGATAAAGACAACACAACGAGTTCCGGAAACAACTGCCTACCTCGCGACAGCATTCTTGTTGCTGGGCGTGGTTCAGTGAGATTTCGTCGCCGGAACGTGGAGAGGGCAGACCTTGCCGTTGCTGCTCGGGAATCCCAATCCCGACGTCGCCAATCTCGATCACCTTACCGAGCACTGGGTTAGGTTTGCTGTTCAGCATCTGCAGCTTCGGCTCCCTCTGTGTCTGCCGCTGCTGCTGCTGCTGCCTCGCACCCTTTTCCGCCAAAGCTGCAGTTCTCCGCATTGCCACTGCGCCCACGTGCCCCCGTTCTCCATCGCCAGGCCCACGCAGCAGTTCCTCCCCTCTGCTCTGCTTTCGCCCGCGAGTCATCGCCAGCTGCCCCTCGCGCGAAGTCCCGTCCTCTTTGCCCCCACCCGCTGGCAGCGGGCGCGGAGATCGGGAGCGGTGCCCTCCGCCGCCAACCATTCGCCTCACCCCCGCGAGTACCCCGCCAGCAGCCGGCGACACGGATCGCCCGCCCTCCCCGACACCATTGGCATTTCCGCCCCCGCTGCCATTCCCCGGATCGCGATCCCGCATCCCACCCCCCGCCTCCATCGATACCCGATAAGGCACGACGCCGCCCTCGCTGCCATTCCCCGGATCCTGATCCCGCATCCCCCCCCCCGCGTCCATCGATATCCGATAAGGCACAACGCCGCCAACGCCATTCTCCGCGCCGCCGCCGCCACCGCCGTCCTCCAGCAACCTTCTGAGACGCAGAAACTCGTCATTAGCCTCTATCCCCCGTCCTCCCTCCCCACCGTCGCTTTCTTCCGCGTCGCCTCCACCACCCCTTCTCACCATTCCCGCTCCATGATCCGCAATCCCATTTGCATCCGCCGTATCCCCGAATATGTCGTCGAACCCGTCCATCCACAGATCGGGCAACTCCATAGCATCTTCCTTGAACGCTTCCTCCGCGGGAGAGGCAGGACGAGGAGGAGGAGGATGAACGCCATTGCCTGGCGATTCCCCACCGCCTCTGCTTCCTGCCTCCTTCCACCCAACCGTCTCGAAACTCTCCTGAGCTTCCGTCATTCCCAAGATGTCCTGGCGAAGAACTAGCTGTCCAAATGCCACGTGGAGGCACGCGCTTACGCATCGCGATGACGGCCCTCCCTCTTGCCGCTTCTTCCCTTAGCCGACGGCGATCTTCCGGCTGCCAACGTGGCAAGCTCTCCCCTCTCCCTCTCCCCCCCACTGCAACCACCAACTCACCGTAATGAAGCCCACCATCATCGTAGTGCCTCTCCAGCTCGCACATGACCTATCAGTGCTAGGGCAGACAGAAAGGCAGCCAGAAGGAATGAAAGCCGTTGCTGCCAATTTCCATAATCGCCCATCGCGCTACATTTCTTGTATTGATTGATTGATAACCTACCCTACCGGATAACTGCCCTGCGCTCGTGCATTCACACAAACACACAGGACACGCAAGAGAAATCACATTGTTCGGAAAGCTTGTCCACCACGGACTCCGGTGGTAAACCACTGGGCAACACAGGTGTGCCGACCCCGTCAAGCTCCTAGAGACCTACACGCTCGACTGTCCGCACCCCCCCAAGACCCATGCCTGCCTTGGCGCGCCCCCTTCGACGCAGCTCCTCCCCTCCACCCCCTCTTTTGTTTGATTTAGCGCCGTTATTACCTCCTGTTTCCCCCGATCCCACTCCGTGAACCGCCGGCAATTGAATTGGTTGGGATTAAGGAATTAGCCAAAAAAAAAAAAAAAAAAAAAAAGCAGGATAAATTTGTCTAGCGCCCCTGTATTTTCCATTTATTTGCGTCGCGCCCCTCCGACAGGCGAAATACCCTGCCGCGCCCCTCTGACCAGTAGAGAAATGTTTCATAAACCCCTGGCGTCGTTTGGGCCTCACATGTTTTCGAAGTGCCCTACACGTACCCACAGCAAATTTGTGTCATGCCCCTACCGGATAGCCGTTAGAGAAATTTCCGATATGCCCCTACCGATACCATTGATCTTTTCACTGTGCCCCTGTCGCCGTTGGAGGCACTCGGGGGAATTTCCACCCGGCCTGGGAGCGCTACCGGGGCATGACAGAAATTTGTGAGTGTCCCCATGTTTCTGCCATGCCCTTGCTTGTGAGTGTTCGCATGTTTCCACCCCGCCAATCTCCTCAACTCTCACACACACACACACACCGTGACACATTCAAGTGTCGTCTGCTCTCTCTCTCTCTCTCTCTCTCTCTCTCTCTC